CCTGGAAGTATAGCCAAGTATTGAATAAGAATAATCCCGAAGAGATATGGTGAGTCACTATGCATTGTCTTGAACACTAGCCTGTAGATTCAATGAGGGCTATGATGCTCACCATCAGTCTTTTTTTACACAGCCTGCTATCCATCTTCGCCGTGGCGCTAATTCTCCTATACCACTCTATGTTCTTATTGATCCTCCACTTGAATTTACAGCATAGTTAAATTCGTAGCCAAACCTGTGCTTTCTTGACTTTTTGTGACTTAAACCGTTTGTTTAGTGCTGATAAAAGTTACATCTATAGGTGTTTCTCCACTTCTTCAATAAAAGTTGTAACATTATAACTTCTCACGTTTCAATCATATGATATTTACCTTGGTAGCCATTTTTTTTTGGTTGACAAGTGGACAAATGTAATGCATTGTGGGATACTAACCACTGGTTAAATCATTTAACCTATGGTTAACTAACCAGGGGCTAATTTTATTTTGAGCAACAGATATTTGACCAGTGGTTAGTTGGCCAGTGGATATAGAATTTAACCATCGGCTAACTTAACCAGTGGTCAAAATTAACCAGTGTTTTGAGCAACCCAGTCCTGGTGCCTGTGCATCAATTGTATCTCTCTTTCGGTATTCCAATTGATATGACGGACTTGACCACATTAGATGACCTAATTCAGGAAAAGATAGTGAGAAAATACCATTGTAATTAAAATCTAACCCACCCCTCCCCCCCCGTTTTATTTTGAAATTTTAACGCTTAAAAAGTTTTGACCCATTTTTATCTTTGACCAGGCACATTCAGGTTATGAAAGATAACGTCGAATTCTTTTCTTAATAAATTGTCTTTCATTTTAAATTCACTTACTTGCAAAAAAAGGGACACGCGACAAAAAATAATAATAAAAAAAATAATAAAATGACAAAATTTCCCTGTAGATGAAGGAAGAGATACAGGCATTTCGAGCGAGATGAAGAGAGATAAGGGAAGAATTGAGAAGGCCTCAGATGAAGGAAGTTCTTTGGGCATCTGTAGCGAGATGTAGGAGGCACAGGAAGAAATGAGGAGGAGCTTCGGACATCTCTCTCGAGATGTATGGAGGAACAGGAAGAATTGAAGAGGCTGGAGATGGAAGAGATACGAACGGATTTTAACTATAGTCTGAGAAAAAAATGTGTTCTTTTAATCCAGTACTATTGCAACCATTAACACCGACTTGAAAAAATATTTTAATATGAAATGACTGTTAGGAGTGTTTTTGTGTCTTTTTCCTTTGTTCTGTATAGTTTTTTTTTCTTTTTATAAGATGAAAAATCATATATATTGGCATTTTAATTGATGCAATTATTGCAGGAGTGGCACATAAGAAAGTACAAGATCGACTACTTGATCAAGGTCAAGGATTGGATCTTGTTCCACTCACAACTGAAATTAATCCGAAGATCCGAGGAAATATTGATTTCCAAACTTGGAGTGAAACAGAAAAAGTTTGAAACAAGAAAACAGGACGAGATAAAACAGAAGACACTTGTACACGATGTGGACTGAATGCCAACCACAACAACTGTACAGCAGTCGGTACCATTTGCAATTATTGAAAGAAACAAGACAATTGGCGATCAGTCTGTAGGAATCGCAACAGATCTAAGATGTACTCATTAGAGCCAGAGGGTTCATCTGATTCTGAAACTGATCAATAAGGATGAAGATGCCATGTTAGATATTCTTTCTACCAGTGATGATTAATCAGATACTCGTAAGTCAGAGAAATAACCTCTTCCACTAAGTTCAGGACAAACCTCTAGAATTCCGTATAGACACTGGATCTAAATGTAATGTAATTGTCAAGTCACAGTTCATAAAACAAACTTGCACGGTAAGGAACAGAAATCGCAGAAGATACTGCGTTCAAAAACTACATATTTCGTTCCAAATTCTGTGTCGACTTGCCACCTACACGAGGCAAAGTTTGAAGCAGTAAGCGTGTCAGGAAAACGTCATAACGGGTGCTACAACGGCAAAGGAAATTTCATTATGCTTGTAGTAATTTTCCAGATCTAATCTGCAATACAGGACCTCTCACAGGAGAACATAGCATTACAATTGACCGAAATGTAAATGTGATTTACGGAGTGTACCGTCACCCAGCGTCTTTAAAGCTACAAATCATTGAAAAGCTGCTAGAAATGGTGTCAACGGTACATTGTTCCCGTTGAAGAACCCATCGAATAGATGGTAAGGTCAATGGTTGTGAGCCTGCGGAACAGTCAAGTGAAACACTGTTTTGACCCTAAAGATCTGAATGAGGTCATTAAGAGAGAACATCACCCCATGAAGACTGTAGAGGAAGTGTCATCCTATATTCCAGGCGCAAAATTATTATTTCCAGTTCTTAATGCCATCGTTTTTAAATTAAGGAAGAACAATTTTTGTTTTATCCTGTACTTTTGCAACCATTAAAGCGAGACCATGATGCACAAACAGGAAAATTAACAAACATAGAATTTTCTTATGGCCCGTGGAAATTTTGTTCAATTCCTAAAAGTATTAGCTTTCAGAAAATTAAAGGTTTCGGAAACTAAAAAATCTACTTTTATGGAGGAAAAAAAATATTTTTGTATGCCCAAGACGAAAAAATTACTTTACTTCTTACTCCTTATTATGCGCGAAGTTGAAGAAGTTACATGTACCATGGTCTCAAGTACCAAAACATGAATGTTGGGACCCACGAATTTTGACACAATTTTCCAAAAAAGATTATTTCAACGTATTTCTCACCTTTGCATGTCCCATTCGAACGACAATTCTTACAGGATTTTTTTTCTCCATTACTCGTACAGAAACAATGAGAATATTGATTAATGATATGTTGTTTTACGTCAAATTCGAGAATTTTTCACTCGTATTGAGACGTCACCATAAACCGGTGAAGGGCTTCAATTTTAGACCATTACTCGGCATTAAAGGTCACTAAGCAGTGAAGGATCTTTACCATGCCAACGCCTGCCGTGACACGGGGCCTCGGTTTTTATGGTCTCATCCAAAGGACCCGCAACTTTCACTTCAAAGTGCCGACGGCATGGCAAAGGAACAGTTGCTACCCATTTTTTTAACGACTTTGGTCAGCCGCGGCCGAAATTCGAACTCACGACCTCCCGATCATGGAGCGAGCGCTCTACCGACTGAGTTACCGTGAACGGTACAATGAGAATAGTTGACAAAACTCAATAGACAAGATACTGTAAATGAAGTTATCTTTAGTAACGAGTGTAAGGTGGAATTAAGAATGGATAAACGTATTCTTGTTCCCAGACGGCCCAAAGAAGAGAAGGCACCTCCTTGCTTCATTCCTACTCGTTGTGCACGCACGAGGCTTATGATCAGAGGTTGCATTACAATTTGTTTGTTTTGTCCATCTCGAGAATTGGAGGCGCCACCATTTGCCGGTTGAGGGCTGCAATTTCGACCTATACTCGGCACCTAGGGCCATAGAGAGCAAGTGAGGGGTCTTTTTCGTGCCAGCACCAACTGCGACCCGGAACCTTGGTTTCTACGTTCAAATCTGATTGACCGGTCTCCACGTCCCGCAGTTGATTCGACCCCGCGGCGTAAAGATGAACTCCTTACATCGCGACTCTAGAGCAAACGTTCTAACCACTGCGCAACGTGGGCGACCATTACGTTTAAAGTTAAGGGAAAAATTACCGTTTTAAATGATAAGGGATCAATAGCCGTTGTAAATGCTGACATTAAAGCTTTCAAAATGCATTAAAGAGATCATTGTTAGGTTACGTCTGGCCAGTTATTGCTTGTCATTTCCCGTATTACAGCTATTGTTCATGTATTCCTATCTTTCGAGCCAAAACTGTTAAAGATTTCCTAGAAAAAATTCACATTAACATGTAATTGCCATCATAAAGTCCAGACATTTGTAATTAGCAAAAATTACCCCCTCCTCCCTACCCTTTGGAATAGGTAACGACCCCCCCTCCCCCCAGCCAGGTGCGTTACATGCATGGTTCTTCCACATGCAGGTGTTGTCCTGATAGTTAATGAGCGATCCATGAACACCCCTAGCAACTGCATGATACTGGCTGGCTGACCTTAGCTTCCTGTGAGTTGAAGGTGAACGCGGTTTACTAATTTTTGTAATGCCACCTAACTGGGCTCTCATACTTTCACTTAAGAGCATACGCCCTGTCTTAGAGCCCACAATTGTAACGTCAGTTATAGGCCAAGTCTAGGACACTTGTTTTAGATTGTCCAACCTGTGGTTGACCAGGCGTAACTCTCCCAAAAAAACTATCAACAACCCCCTCCAGAGTGGACCGTCTTCTATCAGTGCATATATCAGCTGAAAACTTAATATGTCCCCCACAAGAACCTCAGAAATAGTTCCTTGGGCGAGCTTTTCTCCTCGGACTACATTTAATATATGCTAGGCCGACAAAGTAATCATTGTAAATTTCTAACAGAAATACATCTGCCCTTTTCAGCAGTCAGCAAGAAAGATTGCACACGAAACAGCAGGTGTGCGAACAGAGCCACATGTTCGTGAAGTGACAGGATAATTCGTACCTTATATTTCCAGGACCAATTCAAGTAAGAAATGAACTTATAAATTAATCCTTGGTGTTTATTTAATTTTCTGCTGTTTGCTATTTAAATATAATCCTATTCCACCTTGAATATCAGTCCAAATTTTTACTGACCAAAGTTATGGGTTTCGCAAATTTTAATTAGAACCTAGCTTAATTACTTGCAAGTACAAACGTCGTAATTATTCCGAAATTATTTCAAAAAAAAATCTGCTAACATAAACTAGGGTTGTTGCAATGTTAAATCTTATCGATTTTATATTCATTACTAGTAGAATGTTTAAATGTCTACAATCATGGGAGTGCATGAAATTTATCAATAAACCTAACTACTTTAAAAGTAGTAATTTTTTTTTATTCTAGGACATTTACAATAAAATAAACTATATTTCTTACATTATACAAAACATTAAACAAACACTGTATATAATCATTGGAATATTCAAGTTTGAATACAGAGTATTCTACAAGTGTGTATTTGAAAGGATAAATACTAGCTCTGTACACGAAAGAAAAGACAGAATTGTCAAATTTAGTGTCTTTGATATTTACTGGCGTTTGCATTATGACAAGACCCTCCACTTGATTCGAAATGATGTAGAGGTGCGTGTGGAACGTAGGAATCTTCATTGTAGGATAAGGACGAATTAGCATTGTACTGAAACCCTGGGTTTTGTTTTCCCACCAAAACGAGGTCTCTCCAGTTTCTGATTGGTCCAATGTCTTCCTGATGGGTTTCTGGACATTTATTCCTGTTTAATACATAAAATAAAATATTGACTGAATATTTATATCTGTTTCAAGAATTTACCGATTAAACAATGGACACGATCGTCTGTGTAAAAAATGTTTATTTGAATCTTCAATGTTATACTGTACACGTCAGTTTAAAATGATAAAAGTGTTACAAGGAAGAAATTTATCTCTAACTTTGGAAAACATATATAGTAGACATTTTATTCAAATCATGTAAACCAGATGTCTTTTAAAATAACTCATTGTTCAATCTCCAAAGGGTCCGAATGGAGTTTTATTATGTGAAATCCACAACAGAAAGCTCTTTGGTCTTATGTCCTATGTAACTTATATTGACTTCAATATACATGTCAAGTTTAGGGAAAATCTAGGTATTTTTGAGGGACCAATCTTAAAATATTGTTTCATGTACTAGAGGGTTTTATGAAAAAGTGCTAGATTTTGCACTTCAATGTAAATTTTCACGAATCATACAACGGACTTTGGTGTAAACTTTATACCAAGAACAAAAAAAAAATCTATCGTCTGGTGAAAGTGGGTATCCAAAAATGGAAAAAGAAAATAAAAAGTATTGCACAAAGAAAACTCCAGTCGGCCTCCTTAAAATCTAAACCGAGGAGTACTTACGATTTACTACATTTTCTGGCTACCAGTCCTATGATTATCATAATTAATACAATTCCAACAATGGACGTCGAGGCTCCAACGATCAAATGGGTGTTTTTAACTTTGGAATGAGTCGATTCTCCTTTGGTATCTTTTGTATTAGTGGAAGTAGTTGTGTCGACACGTTCTGCTGAGGTTTCTGTTGATTTCAAGGTTGATGTACTCAGGGTTGATTTAGTTTCGCTAATTGTTGTAGTTGAAGATGTATCCTCTTTCGCAGTTGCTTTGCCGTCAGTACTTATTACCGATGTTGTTGATGATTCGGAAGTTGACGATTGAGAGGAAGTCAATGCTTCTGTGTTACTTGTAGTTGTCATTTTCCATGTAGATGTCGGTTTTGTAGATGATGGCGACGTGATTGGTTGAGTTGTTGTCAAGCTCGAAGTTGTTTCTTTGATTGTTTTAGTTGGCGGGTTTGTAGTGAGTGCTGGTGTTGTTTCCAGTGTCGTCAATGCTATTGTTGTTGAAGTTGATGCTGAATCGGTTGTTGATATCACTGCTGTTGTTTCAGCAGTTGTGGTTGATAGATCCTCCGTCATCTCTGCTGTCTCAGGTGTTGTGTCAGCAAAACTTACTGTTGTTATTGTCGATGCTAATGTTGTAGGTTTAATGGAAGAAGAATCGGACACCATAGATGCATGTTCGTTTTCTGTAGTTGTGATCGGAGAGGTTGCTTTGGTATATGTTGTTTCATCTTGTGCAGCAGTCGTTATAGAAGTTGTAGTCTCTTCTATTTGTTCTGTGGAGCTAAACGATGTGTGTGTGTGGATCATTGTTGTTGTCATACTTTCTGTTGTTGTTTGTCCACAGGCTACGTAGATAAAAATATTTATATTAGGCCAACTTTAAAACTATGTTTGCCCTCTCCCGACTTACGATAAAAAAAATTGGATCATTAGATTGGTGGTATTCTTTCAACATCGGTGCTGAATTTTCAAAATCTATTTTCCGGAATACATAAAAAATAATTGTGTCATGGAGTTAAAAAAGTATTGAGTTGGTCCATTTTAAGGCAGTTGGACCGGAACGGGCAACCGATTTTTTTTTTAAATATTACCATGCTTAACTGTATTACTGTCAATAGTTTTATGGAAGAAAATCACATTCATCTCGATACAAATCAAAAGGAAATAATTCCTTCACGGTAGCTCAGACGGTAGAGCGCTCGCTCCGTGATCGAAGGCTGACCCAAGTCGATAAAAAAAATTAGGTAGCAACTTTTCCTTCGCCAGGCGCTCGGCACTTCAAAGTGAAAGGTTTTGCGTCTTTCGGACGAGACCTTAAAAACCGAGGCCCCGTTTCACGGCAGACGTTGGCACGATAAAGATCTCTTACTGCTCAATGGCCCTGAGTGTCGAGTTAAGGTCTAAATTTGAAGTCCTTCACCAGTATATGGTGACGTTTCTATATGGGTGAAAATTCTCGAATGGGACGTTAAACTACATACAATCAATCAATCGAAAGGAAATAAGAACAAACTATGCTAATAAGAGTCTTACATTCATTTTCTGTCCAGTTGAATTTATCATTTGTTGTATTGCAGTATAGACACTCATTGATGGAACTATTCTGCATGGAACTGAAGCATTTACCGTCGATGAAACAGAAATTTTCCTGTAAATACATGTAATATATGAAAATGAGATTTATCCTGCTTAAAAGCTGAACACGTTTCGTAAAAGGAATTTGTCCGCCATATCTATTATCTGAGGGCCCCTATGTAAGCCGTTCATTTAGTCACTGTTTAGTGTAATCAGTTGTCGTCTGTGTAGACAGACGTATTATACATGGCACTCCGCAGGTGTGTTAAGGCAGTGCCCAGATCAAATTTCGGCGCATTTAGACTTTTTTTTCGTAAAATGTAATATTGATAAATCGGAAAAGCCATAGATAAATCATTTACTATTATTATCAATTGTATAGACGTCATTGAGTCTTAGGCTAAAAGAAGCACTCCAACATGACGTCATCACGTGACGTCTATAAATAAAAAAAATTTGCCTTAATGAAAATGTGAAAAGTTCAACACTACCCCGGAGATAATTCATTTCTTTGAGTGAAAATGATTATGTAAAAACATCACTGGGTCATGAAAAGTGCTGCTAGAATCCTACTCTCCCGACACAGAAAAAAATATTACAAAGTTTCGCATGAATCCTTACCAAAATTTTTACATTTTATACACACGATGAAGGAATTGTTATTAATTCATGTTAACCACACGATTCTAGCAGCACTTTCCAAGTACTATAGAATACAAGCTTTCCATACAAACAAAAATTATGTTTCAAAGTATGCGGCGTAGTGTTGAACTTTTTCATCTTTGTTATAGAACGACAGAGGAAAGGCTGATCGGGATTTCAAAGCACTGCCCGTGTTCGTTATAAGAAAAGATGATAAGAATATATCAGCGTACCTGATTCTTAATCTTTAATTCCTTATGAATCTCTCATAACATTCATGGTTTATGCTTTAAAACTCCCATTTCATATATTTGTTTTCATGAATTCTCTTCACCTATAATTTCACTCGGCAAATATTTGATCAATAGTTATGACGTCATGGGTTTGGTATTTAACCCCCGTGCTATATATTAGCTATTTATACCACCCAAAAACGAAAAGATTTAGTTTATATTATGTTTTGAATGATTCCCTTCATTTCTTGGACCTGAAATTAAAATTTAAATATATATATGAAGAAATCATTATTTCTAAAGTTCACGTCATACAGCTTACTACATGTATGACGTCATATTGTAAAGGCAAGTAGGATATCTCTGGGTGTAGCAATAACATACCCGCGTCGGTAGCAAAGAAAATAACTTTGCACGGTAATAAAAAACGATACCAAAGAAACTTACAACCGTTGCACAGGTCACTGCAGTATACAAACAAACCCAAATACACGTAACTGCAATAAAATGTATGCAAAGACAATGCAAGACAACTAACGCGAACACATGTCGCCATTCCACGTGACAATGAAGCAGACAGGTGTTACGAATGCGAAGGATATACCCCAGTGCTGATATCATAGATGGTAAAATCAAATATGGTGTATGCTTATTTAAGAGTCGTGTTCAACTTTTAAGAATTCAAAGCTCTTAAGGTAAGCGTACATGCATGCAAGACATACATGAATTTTCAAGTACTTAGATCTACATTTTTTTAAAGGGAAATATGGAAAAAGTAAAAGCAGGTTTTTGAAATTCATTTGACAGACACAAGTGTTATTCGAGAGATTCACAGGATGTTTATGTATGTTTATATCGTTAAAGGTCAATCACAAAACACTTGGTAAACATTAAAATATACTCCAAACACGTTTAGAAAGAGAGCACCACTTACCTTTAAGGTGAAATACACATTTCCGGATTCATTGTGGTACTCCTGACAATGAGACTGATATATAATAACTTGATACGTGTCTGTGAAACGTACTCCGTCATTTGAAATGTTAAACTTGACTTCAGTCGTCCAGATACCAGATGTGTCATACGGAAGCGGACAGAATCCCTCAAATAAGGTTCTCTCTTGTAAAGTCATCTGTCTCTTGTGCTCACTTTCCTCCGTTTGGTTAATATTGCTCTAAGAAAATATATATTATATTCATGAAAAAAAACCTATGTCAAAGCATTGTCAAATGAACACGTATAGTAACACTGATGGATTGAGTGTGTGTTATTTTACGTCCCATTCGACAATTTTTAACTCGTATGAAGACTTCTGCATATACCGGTTAAGATCCTTAAATTTAGACTTTTACTTGGCAATTGAGCAGTGAGGAATCATCATCGTGCCACCCATTATCGTAACACAGGGTCTTGAACTTAAAGGTTGCATTCAAAAGACCTGCAACTTTCAATTCAAGGAACCGAACATTTGAGGAATGAAACCTTTTCTCATCATCTTAGGTCTGTCGCTGCCCGGGCTTGAACTCACGCCCTTCGAATCACAAAGACCGTATCGGTAGCTCAGTCGGTAGAGCGCTTGGTCCGTGATCAGAAGGATGTGTGTTCGAATCACGGTCTCGACTGACATAAGTCGATAAAAAAAAATGGATAGCAACTGTTCCTTCGTCAAGCGCTCGGCACTTTGGAGTGAAAGTTGCGGGTCCTTCGGATAAGACCTTATAAAACTGAGGCCCCGTTTCATGGTAGGCGTTGGCACGATAAAGAACACTCACTGCTTAAATAATGGCCCTGAGTGCCGAATAGAGGTCTTAATTTGAAGCCCTTCACCTGTATATGATGACGTCTCTATATAAGTGAAAAATTATCGAACGGGACGTAAAATAACATACAATCAATCAATCGAATCACAAAGCGAGCCATTTACTGATTGAGCTAACTTTATTTTTACAAATGACAATTCAGACGTACCTGTTTTACGGTAAGATAACATATGGAGTCCATGTTTTCAAAGAAATATTTTCCCAAGATGGTGGCCTCTTTACAGGTTGTAGTAGAGAGATCACAAAGACCAGCACTGGGAACACTTGTAATTGTGGGAGGTCCAAGTAAATCAAAGGAGCAGTCGCTCCCCCCAAAGCCAGTGTCACATGTACAGTTTCCTTGTAATAAAGATGATAAATGACTAAACATTAAGTCTACATGTACATGTAAGACGATCTCTAAAAACGATATCTTTGGACTGATAATGATAAAACAGATATCAGAAGTTTTGTAAAGTTTCTTGTAAATTATCATTAAAATTTTGAGAAATGAATGTAATAATGCTATTGAATTTATTTTATCTCATATTTATCTCTTGGATATTGCAGATTCTTTATTTTCAAATCAAAAGATTAGCAAAATAGTTTCCTAACATCGTATGATACAATGAATAGCCTACCCCCATCACAAGTTCCATGTCCGGTACAGTTGCTTGGACAGAGGTTTTGTATTGTATAGGTCACTTCCGGTTCTGATTCTTGCAGTGTGGCATTTAAAAGGACAAACGTTGAACATTGCTGTAGAGCGGCTTCGACGTGAATGTTCGTTAGGTTCTCATCGCCTGTCATCTGAAAACAGATCTTAGCATTGAATTTGTTCAACTCAAACGATTTTTAAGCAAAAATGGGCCACTTTTCAGTATAAGTTAATTGATACATGTACTAGAACATGAGATACTACAGTATATGCCTAACGTGCTGTACACTGTTCTAACTTGTAATTGACCTACTCTTATGTCTTCAATGCAGTTGGATAAGGTTACATTACTAAGGTCAGTCACATGTTGTTGACACGTGTTGTATTCAGGTGAATTTTCAAAAGCCTGTAGACAAACTCTCTCGGAGTATTCAGTCGTCCGTACGTAGGAAACCGTGCGTTTCTTTCTCTGGAATTGTTAATTAAAAAAAAAAAACATTATCACCAAGATGAAACTGTCATCGTGTATTCATTAGAGATTGTTCCTTATTAATTCTAGGTTTGCAAATTTCAGGATCAATATTTTTATGCATACAAGTCAATCTAGAAATTTTCAGTAGTTTGATAAGTTAAAATTATTTTAAAATGGAGAAGATTGTATGAGTTATAGCATACGATTAAAGGATCCCTCTCCTTGAACATATCGGACACATCCCGTTTTCGTCTTCTGTTTTGTACAAGGTCTACATTACATTCATACTGTTTGCCTCGGTTTGAGTTGCAAGGTGTGAACGTGTTGTAGGAGCATTGGGTTTTCCCGCTCTCAGTGCATGTACAATGAGGAACAAGAATGGTCGACACAGATTGCAAACTGTTGTAGACTAAAGAGTCGCCGCTGAAGAGATTTTCGTTGTCTCGAATCCTACGTGCAAAAACATGGTTGAAATTGTTATTTTACATCGAATGTTTATGTATAGTTTGACGTTAAAGAAATTTTTTTGTAAATGTAATTATGAATAATTACTTCCATGACTCGGAGAAGTCATTAGGATAACTCAGACCGATGTCATCTATAATAGTACTGTTTCGCCTTCTGAAGTCGTTTTCCATCACACCATCAAAATATCCACATAAACCATCGGCATTCCCTACATCCATAGCAGAGGGTAGAATTTCAAGATCAATGATATAATGTCTGTTCCATTCCATTATATATATGGCGAGTGAAGTACCAGTGGGGAAATATATCTGAAGATGCAGTATAAATAGAATGATACAAAATGGCTGACTACTAAATCAATATGTCTAATTTTCTTAACTTTAAATTCAGTCCTGTTGTATATAATTGAAAGTCATGTTAGTTGTGCACTTCGACACAAAATTGCTAGATCAGGGCGAAGGTTACTTCACCTCCTGAAAATTTGTGATAAAATTCTGAATTTAATAGTAGACTTTTAAAAAATTCCAATCGATTTTAAAATAAGATTTGTTGATAAATGAAATTAAATCCCAGCGGACTTTAATTATTTTTCTTTTAAGTTTTGAGAATTGAAATGGTGTTTCAACCAACCATTTTTCTCTGTAGTTATATGTATAAGTAGCTGACCTTATAGTATTTGTCGTGGATTTTCGTGACTTTCAAAACATTGTCCTCGCAAAGTTCATAACTGATGATTTTATTTTCTCCACACAAATCTATGACAAAGACATCTCTTCCTGCTCTTGCTGCCACTGCGCAGACGCACCAAGGTCCATCATACGACGGGAAACATAAGTGGTGTTTGGACTGAATCTAAAATTTCAATGTTAAATTCATATTTATAGGTATGTACTATATTACTTTTTATGAACATTTCTATCCTTTAGGCTTTATATTGAGTTTTGCATTACCTATATAAATTCATTAAGGCGATTTCTTTAAAATAGGACATATCATGGCCCGTTTTACAGAAGAAATTACGACTAAGACCAAAATGTAATTTAGCGAATAGTTTTCTTCCTATATTTATTAAAATTGGAATTTATAATTTTTATAAGGAGTTTTAACAGGTTGGGCACAGTTCCTTTTTTTTAGTAATTGTTACGCTAAAAGGGAATTTTCCCTCTTTTCAGTAATAATAATTAAAAAAAACATTACTGTATACGGGAATTTTCAATCGTTTACCCTCTTTTCTCGTGTTTGCCTTGAATAAAAGATTACGTGCAAGAATATTTTCACATCCTCTCAATATTTATAGTCTATTAAGTGTATATATGCTTAAAACTTCAATAATTCAGCAAAAAACTGAAAAAGAGTGATGAAATATTTCTGCAATATAGATTTCTTACGGAAGCTAATCTGTGTTAGCAATTGCTAACTCGTACATGAAAGTATTCGTTCTAATTAAATATTATAAACTTTTTTTTCAAAGACATCGGAAAAATAATTTTTAATACCACTGCTTCTTTTACAGATGAAATAATTAGATGAAATATTAAATTTTAAAAGATACTCATTCAAAGATGGTTTGAGAATTAAAGTCCTTGTAAGATTCTATACTTTTCGTATCATTTATCAACAGGGAGAAGTGTATTACTGCTGCATACATGTGAGTTTAAATTCCTATACATGTTCAAAATATGTCACCTCAACGAAACCAAGCTATGAAATTTTCCGTGTTTAAACTAGTAGTAATATACTTGTAATGGAAATATTCACATCCGTTGGAAGAATACTCATGATCTCGTACGATTAAATCTCATCTTACTCCCGTCTGCAAAACTAAAGAACTGAATTTTTTTTTTGTCAACGAGGTTGGTTTAATAATGTTTAAACACATCACATCGTCTTTTTATTTAATACACGAATTTGGGGCATTATTTTAAAAATATGACGAAAATTCCCGTTTACAGTAATGTTTTTTTTATTACTGAAAAGAGGAACAATTCCCCTTTTAGCGTAACAGTTACTGAAAAAAAGGAACTGTGCCCCACCTGTTTAAGATGTTTCTGTATATAAGTAAATAATAAAAGAACTAAACCTTGCAAGATTTTACATTAAGCGCAAGTTCTTGGACTTAGTCGTAAGTTCTTTTGTAAAATGTGGCCCGGGGCTTTTTGTTTGATCAGCCTTACCCATTGTAGTTGATGTTGATTTCGATAATTTATAAATTCTCCAGGTATCTGACACTCGTATGATCTGTAGGGAGAACACAGATAACATGTACAAGGTAAGCACATCTCTTGTTACATTACAAGATTTATTGACTTTTTCCCCTTGTAACGAACAATTATTCTGAAATACGTTAAATAACGATAACGAGGTATCAAAGATTTGAAGCAAATGTTAAGGATGTCATCTATAAATTGAGCAAAGCATTTCACCAGACAACCTTCAAATTAAAGGATTTCGAACTTACATGCATATTTGATATTAAATAATAACAGTAAAATATTATGTAGCAAACTACTAAGGAAATATGACAATTAAATCATCGGTTTAGACAAGTTTTACTGTATATGTCATGCTGCTCTTGATAATAAACCCATAAAGGTTTATTTCTCTAAATATATTTTAGGAAGATTGTAAATTATACACAATGCACTCTGCAGACTATTCCCATATTTTCTTACTTTCCGTCAAAAGTATACATATGTGGATCCGCTCTAACACCACACGATCTTCCTTTCCATTGTTCATTTCCTTCTCGAACACTTATCTGTTTCATTATAAAACAATTATGAATATCGTAAAAAAGAAAAGAGCAAATCAGTTAACATGTACAGAAGTTAGGTACTTTTTTTTTTAACAGTGAAGAGATTTTCTATAGAATAAAGGCAAGATTAATACATATGAGAAGCACACAGAGACTATTATATAATCACTTACTTTATTTTTCATTCATGTATTTTAAAGATTTTATTCGCCGAGACGTTACGCATAGTATAGAGTAACGTAACTGCGTAACTTGTAACATTAAAAGACGGGCGCTAGTAGTTTTTAGTCATTGTTTCGTTTTGACCACATGGAAGTTTCCGCCAATTTGCACAAAGCTCCTATAATGTCCTGTGATGATTTCATACAAAATTCATTAACAAATTTCCAATACTGACCGATACCGACTGTTCGTAAAAAATAATAGCATTCCGTAATATGCCGTGATTTTGACATGTAACAAGGAGAGATGGAATGTTTGTTAAAGAATTTTCCCATATAGCAAGTTCTTCTGGTAAAACTAAAGGGAGATATAAAATGTGCAAATCAAGAAGTACATGTAAATAGATGTAAGCAAGTATTTGAAGAATAGTAGAGTGAGTTTGATGTCTAGTCGGTTTTGTTACTATGACACAAATAAGCTAATTATGATATTTTACAAGACGTATATCAGAGATGTGAGCTCTTTTCTTTTTTCAGAGGAATACTTGCTATCCATAAAAATCTTATTTTCGAAATGTGCAAATAAATAAAATTTTATATCAAAAAATAGAAAGTAGTTAAACCTTAAAAAAAAAAAAACAAAAAAAAAAAAAAAACAAAAAGAAAAAAAAACAGAGCAAAAATTGGATGTCTAGTCTTATTTGTTACGCATTCAATTTTTAACGTTTTCGTGCTTAGAAAACGTAACGTCAAAAATATAGTTTTACTTGCAAACTTGCCATTATTAAGGGAAATACAAATCATATCATCAGCAGAATAAAATATTTATTAGTGAAAAAAGAAGAAAAAAGAAAATGAAAGAAGACAAGAGGCCCAAGGGCCTTAACGGTCATCCGAGTATAATACAACAATTTAGAGGATCCATAGAGTATAAAATGAACTGAAAGGTGAAGCTTTGTTGCCCAAAAGCAAGAAAAATAGGGTGATCAGGATTAACAAAATAATTAGTCTAGTATTCATTAACAGTTCATAAATTAGGTTCTAATCTGTTCCCCATTTATCACTCTCACCAGACAGTATATTAAGAAACTATCAGTGCTTCTGTACTCTTTTAATTCCTTGTGGAAATCTCTTACATTGGCCTGAGTAAGACTCTTGGTCTTTGATGAACATTTAAGGTACTGGTATTCCATCCCTAATAGCCTCAGATTCAATGAATTTGAATACATAACAGATGTGTACGGGTGGAATACTCAGTATATTTAGACATAATCTACATTTATTACTATTAGCATGTAAGAATGGAAGTGTCCTAATTTATGACTTGACCTTTGTTGAAGAGTTATCTCCCTCTTTTTTTAAGTAATAAAAATCAATTTTAAAAAAATATATGGTAAAAAAATTGTTTTCAATTGTCATTCTATTTCTAATGATTTAATTGATCTTTCCACCACAGTAGTTATTGATATTCTTATTATCTGAATTTTTATTTAAAAAAAAAATCGCTTGTCTCCATAGACTTCAATGCAATTTCTATTAATTAAATACTGCTTAGTTAATTACGTTTTTGAAACTTTCACTTGGTAAATCCTTTTCTACTGTAAAGTTCTTTGAATTAATATCAGAGTATTATATACGTGATTGATATTTAAGGATAGAGAATTAGTTCCTATTAGGGATGGAAAACCTTAATAAGACAAGTCTACCTGATCATTAAAACTATGAAAGTACTTTTTGTATTATACAATAAAAATTCTTGCATAATTCTCTTATTCTATTAACCTTTCAAGTACATTATTTACAGTGATTAATTATCACAAGTAAATGGCAAAGGGGAATAACTCCTCTCAGTAGAATACAAATTAATAGAGCCCTGGTCTGGACTAGAACACTTGACCAAATGGTCTTGATGTTCAAAAATCTGGTAAAAATACCCTTCCTTATTAAAACTTTTACCCTTTTTGCCTCTGATATGCCCAGGAGCAGAGAAGATTTTTAAGCATTGATGCATTTTCACTATATAATAAATAGAGTCCCGCCCTAACATCAGAACCTCTGATCCAGGGGTCATGAAATTCACAAATTTGGAAAAGGCATCCTTGCTTATCATAACCATGTATTTGTTTAAATAATACCCAGGAGAAGAGAAGAAGCTTTTCAAAGAAATAATGCACTTTCACTATATGATGTATATAGCCCCGCCCTAGCACCAGAACCCTGACCCAGAGGCCATGAATTTCACAATTTTGGTAGAGTCACTCTTGCTCATCATAACTATGTATTTGATTTGTTTCAATAATACCAAGGAGTAGAGAAGAAGATTTTCAAAGAAATAATGCACTTTCACTATACGATCTATATAGCCCCACCCTAGCAACAGAACCCCTGACCCTGGGGCTATGAATTTCACAATTTTGGTAGAGTCACTCTTGCTTATCATAACTATTATTCAATTTGTTTCAATAATACCCAGGAGTAGAGAAGAAGATTTTCAAAGAAATAATGCACTTTCACTATATGATCTATATAGCCCCGCCCTAACACCAGAACCCCTGACCCTGGGACTATGAATTTCACAATTTTGGTAGAGTCACTCTTGCTTATCATAACTATGTATTCAATTTGTTTCAATAATACCCAGGAGTAGAGAAGAAGATTTTCAAAGAAATAATGCACTTTCACTATATGTTCTATATAGCCCCGCCCTAACACCAGAACCCCTGACCCTGGGGGAATGAATTTCACAATTTTGGTAGAGTCACCCTTGCTCATCATAACTATGTATTACTATATGTAACAATATACCGAGATATCAGGCAAGGACACATGCTCAAATATTTTACTGCCAACCCCGTTAGTACCGCCTGTCTTTAAGTTAAGGGTCATGTGACTATTGATGACGTAACCATCCGTATCCTGGCTGTAAACCGGAAATGAAATACTTTGCCTCCATTCGCCGTTTTCATACTTGTGTTTCTCGTTGTAGCTATAGCTTTTTACTTTGACCTCGCACTGATTAGATGATCCTCCTCCACTACATTTAGACGGATCATCTGTTTTGAAGGTCATATGAATGTTCAGGTCGCTAACTGGTTGTGGAACTCCATTAATATAAAGCGATTCAGAGGCAAATGGTATTGTCATCTCTAATTCGACATTCTTAGATCCTTTTCTCTCCAACTCAATACTTGGATTGAGAATCTTAAAAAAAATGTATTTAAGTGTAATTCAATTTTTTACCAAATGTATAACTTTTAGGAAAAGGTTTAATAAAATGCAAGGGAAAAAGTTAGCAAGATGCATTTTGAAATTACAGAGTCTTTAATTTCAAACTGGGAACTGAGTACTATTCTTTAAACTGTCTTAACAGGCATTAATCTGAGATATTTATTATAGTAGTACCTTAATTCCAGCAAAGAATGAATTTCCAACTTTGAAAAGACATGGACTGTTTGCTTTTTTACGTTTTGCACCAACTTTGCAGTGTACCTTACGAAAGAAACAAATTTTGTTGAAAATTGAATCACAATTACTCATATTTGTTTGTTTACTCTTTTTTCGTATATTAATGCAAGCATTTGTTCTCTTATATTTTAAAGGAATTGACTTCAAAAAAGCATGTTTTGAAATGATTTCTAACAGAAAATAATTTGATAATATTAACTTTACATCCAGATGTTTCAAGCAATATTCCCAGATCTTCCAAACATCATAGTTTTAATGATTTAAAAAAAAATGGCTTACGTGAGACCCTATCTTTTTCTCGGCTCTCAACATATTATGAGCTGTTATCACAGCAGTGTAATTACTGGTTTCATCAACAGTCTGATTTAAAACTTCTTGTCCATCAATAAACCAAGTAACGTCGTAAAAAAGTTCTTCATCAGATTTCAAACTAAAGTTGCAGAGAAGGGCCACAGCGGGGTCATATCTGATTAGATGATTTAGTATTTCTTTTTTCCATGTCATATTATGGTACAAAACGGAAACAGCTGATGGTACCCAATCAACACCTGTTTTTGGGCGGAAGAGTACAAAAGCAATAGGACAAAAGAAGCTTTAGAAAGGCTACAGTAGACCGATTAGAGATTAGAAAATTATACGTACAATATTCCGTGTCAACTGTGAAAAAAAAAATTGTACATGTATGATAAAAATAATAATAATAAATGGAGAAATATAGAGTTTAGTTAAAATAAGCATCAAAACAACAAACCTTTGTCACAGGTATCATTAGTCCATCCAGTAGCACATCCGCCAATACAAGATCCGTTAAATCGGTCACATAAGTACGGTGTTAAACAGTGACTGCTACATCGATGTGAACAATCACGTCCATACCAACCAGGTGTGCAGGCTGAATTAGAAGATGAAAATCCTACCTTTATTTATAGCAAAGAGAGATCTGTGTCTGTCTAATTCCTTTTGTCTTAATGATTAATTCATAATGATAAATGGAGTGTTGAAAATGTCAAATAGCATTATACCAGTTTACATATATTATATACAGGACATATATTTTTTAAAAGATCTGGACGTTTAAACACATACACATATTTCCTTATTAAGGACAGATGATACAAACAGAAAAAATGAATGCCTAGCGATTGGTATATATTTTTGGGGCTATTTTTGTTTCAAATGATGCAAATAATAAATTTCTAAAATATTAAGAAATTGTACACCTTCTATCATGTTCAAATTCTACCTTTTTGCAACCATCCTTATTAATCTATACATTTTTTTGTCACTTCAAATTCCTATACTGTGAAACTTTGAATGAAAAAATAGAAACTACGCGGTAAAACTTGTTCATTTTACTTATATAAACATGACTCAAGTTGTTATTTTCAAATGTTTCATGAAATTTGTTTCTATCATCTGTCCTTAAAACGCTGTTCTTTATTTGTAGTATTTTATTTACGTGAAATACTTAAGTTAGTATATAATCATGAAGATGCATGTAAACTTCTAAATAAAAAAATGTGGATCCTTTTATACAATCATACATATGGATATAAAACCAAGTAAAGCTTGCAATATTCTCAATATTCGCTATAAGCGAACAAGCTTGTAATTCTGTCTATTTCCTGCTCATTTTCAAAAGAGACAGACGAGTTTGTGACGAAAACATATTCGCGATTGCGAGTCGGTGCCACCCCCCCCTTTCATGTTAAGATAGAATAATTCATTTTTAATAGCTTATGTTTAAACACTAACCTTGATTGCACCTGCTTGATGTCCAACCATTATTACAACCAAGTAAACAATTCCCGGTGACGTGATGACAAGTTTCGTTAAAACAATGTCCACACTCGTAAACACAATTAGCACCATATGTGCTATTCGAACACTCTTCAATAGTTTATGTAAATTTAAGAAATAAAATAACATTATAACACGTGTTTCGCCTAAAATAGCATTTGTTACATTTCTTTAAAAAACCACAGGCAGAAATAAGTTAAAGATTGAATATTTACCATCTGTGCAGTTTGTTCCGGTATACCCAGCTTGGCATATACAAGATCCGTCAATAGCGTTACATTCGTCACAATTTGAAAAGCATGGTCTACATGGGCTACCATAATGATTTCTAGGGCATCCTTTTAGAACAAAGATATTTAAAAAGTAATAATTCACCAAAAAAAATGTAGAGATAAAGAACATTAATCTGTTTCGTATTTGCAATACACATAGAGACTTCCTGGTCAGAACGCGTTAGGTTAGAATCCCCTGCTGACCGTTTAAAAACGCAAGTCTCCTGTAATGAAGGTATTCGTGGTAAAATGTAGCATGAAAACATCTAGTATGAACAACATCAGCTTAGTTATAGAGTCAACGATAAGATTTATTCTCGAATGGACTATTATTATTCTAACGGAACTTATGAAAATATCGACTATGAAGAGAGTAATTGAGATATACCTTTTTTTTTGGTATGCAATTTTTTTTTAAATGACCATTGAACACTTAAGATATTGATCTTGTGTACTCCTTTTGTTGTTTAAATATGTAATAACATTATATATTTTTAGGCATTATTGTGAATATAAAATTATATACTCATGCTTCTCCATCTAAGATTCAATTTGATTTGAAAAGGGTTGAGTTTATGATAGTTCTAATACTTCCATTGCATTACAGGGGTTAGGAAGGTAATGAGCGACAATCAAGCTTTAAATTCCAGTGTAACAAATATGATTGCAAAGAAAACAAAGACCGTTGGAAACATCATAGTAGGGATCAGGACACTGGAAGAGTTAGTATCCCCTATCGACTGGTCACGCTGTTTTGAGTCCTTTGTCTTGATCATTAAATGATTTTATCCGTAGACAAATCGGTATGAAAATAATCGTCTAATAATCAATACTAGAAATGTCAGTCACATTCGACCTAATGATAATTGGTATTTGTAATCAATGAAATTGAACCGACCATTAAAGTTCGGATCTGTTGACTATAAACAATGTCCCTGATACCTGGGTAACATCAACATTTTTGTCAGTAACTTCATTGATTCTAAGCATACTCCTTACAATGATCGAATAGACCTTGAATGAAAAAAACTAAATGAGGTTAGAAAAAGGATATTATAACATTAAGCATAAATATAACCTTTGGACACTGAAATAAATATCGTTTATATGTTATGCATGCGTATGTCTGGGAGCTGTTCACATTAGAACTTTAAATAAAACCAAAAATTAAAAATTATCTTTCGAGGATTGAAAAACAAAACAAAACGCTATTTCAACTATGTACACTAAGTTTACAGCACATTTTTTTTTTGTTTAAATTATTCATAAATTTTAAGTATTTATCAATAAGCAATTATTCCGTCGAAGCAACGAAAAAAAAAATACCGTCCCACCTCCCTATGTACATATATTTTCACAGCCACAATTAGACTGGCTGCATGTTTCAGAATCCGTGGATGACTTCTATTTTTTTCCTTCGGGAATTTCAAAAACAAATTGTAGTCTGTACAAATTATTTCAGCTGATAAATGGGCACAATGAGTTCCCTGCTTTCAATTTCAAGAAGTCAAATTACTTTTGAATTGAAATACATGTGAATGCTTCATTATTGCTTACACCAAGTTTTAACTAAAAATGCAAGTTCCTGAACATGTATTATTTGTATAACTCGTTCAATTTAATTGCACGGTTAAGCATTTAAGACTCAACAAATGAAGACTTACCATAAATTTCTACTTCGCAGAAGGAGAGTAAAGAGCTGTTAATTTTTGTGAGGTCGTCAACAGAAAAACTGAACGAAAAATGTAGATAGGAGTGTTGTTTAAGATATGGGATTTTTATGACATATGATGACGAGGCAGGTATTTCTTCTATCCCACTGTGTTGATTCTCTGACGAACAATCTCGACAAATGATATACTGGAATCTTACAGCTGATGTCCCTGTTATGATACATGAGAACATATCGGTAAAGATATGCAAAATAAGCTCATGAATGGGGAACTACGTGTTGAAATATTGAAGAAGTGCCGATGAAAAGATACACATAGTTCGCTTTTAGAGCATCATAATGAATCAAACTAGGCCATTTAGAAAAAAAAAAAAAACTGTTTCCTCGCCCTCTCCCGACTTACGATAGAAATAATGAGTAGGTAGGTGAAATACCTATCGTATAATTAATAAAATTGATTCTCTTTTTTTAAATGAGAGTTCATATTCTCTAATGGAACTTGGAAATATTTTCATATATACGGTTCTTCCAAAACCTTAGAGAATTAAAAGTGCGGCAAGATTTGTAATGTATAACGTCACGGTACCCATTATTGCCGAAAAATACCACATTTTTCTTTGTTATGTCCTTTATATAAGTTTATTTAAAATAATTTCTATACGTATCTCTGCAAAGTTCATTCAATTAACATAAGTGATATTTTTTCATTCGAAACAAGTCTATCTCGACTTACTTTCGGGCTAAAAATAAACCTAGTCCATGACCTTGGATACACAGGAAGTCGAGTACCCATTATTGCCGCTTATATCTTTTCATCATTATTCACCAATTAATTGCTAAATGAACCAAACAATTTTAAATTTATGATAATAAAAGACAGAAAAAAGTCTACGATGTAGAATTATTTAATTAGAAACGCAATTGTAATGTTTATTCTTAATTTTTGGTGATATTTTTTTTTCGATGTTGCTTCGGCCGCATGCGCAAAAAGTAAACACATGGACTAATGAAGGAAACATGTGCTATTCAGGCCTGACAATGACCGAAACGCTATTTTTCCAAGTTAACGCAGTCTTGTGACAGATTGTAGAAAGAGAGGTACATGCCTGGTCGGGTGCAAAGCTTTGGCAAACACTTTTAAACCAGTTTTTGCATAATTTCGCTTGTAAACCAACCATCAAACACTCATTTCAACATGGTGGGCGGGGCTTCGTTGTTAAAGCAGACCCATGGTCATGATGGTGCACTACCACATCGATCGCAGTAACTGGATGTATAATTGGTCAGTATCATTTGAATATTTCTCAATAATATGAAGCATTGGTATTATGTTAACATTTATCGAATAAACCACAGCCCCCACCCCCACACGCACCTGGTCCCTAGCACTCAAACTGCAAGTTTAGGAAGTTTTGCACGGTGGTTTCACTTCTTCGTCGAGGTGATTTTTATTTAGATATTTCTTAACAAAATCTATGAAAAATTGGCGAATTGGGTATAATTTTAATATTTTTATGAAACAAATCACACAGAACACCCCCACCTCCCATTAAGCATGCAAACTGCAAAATTAAGGAAATCTTTTAGAAACGTTCAACCTTGAAGAAAATATGAACATGTCAATTGAGAGACAAATTTATGTGGTATCAGTGTAGGTGACTATTTACTGAATGCATGTTCAAGAATTTATCATGATTCTTCATTTTTCTCAAAGAGCTTGCTTGTTTGTGTAAATTCAGGGTTTTTTTTTTTTTGAAAAA